ACCACGTTCTGAGCTGTGTGGTGTTGCACGATTACCCAGCCTTGCTGTTCTTGCATCTCCTCAGCTGTAAAGTGGGGCTAATGACAGAATCTTTCTTTTGACTTAGTGTTATTGCGGGGATTAAATGAGCTAATACTTGGCCGGCGCCGCGGCTCAATAGGCTAATCCTCTGCCTTGCGGCGCCAGCACACCAGGTTCTAGTCCCGGTCAGGGTGCTGGATTCTGTCCCGGTTGCCCCTCTTCCAGACCAGCTCTCTGCTGTGGCCCGGGAATGCAGTGGAGGATGGCCCAAGTGCTTGGGCCCTGCACCCCATGGGAGACCAGGGGAGGCACCTGGCTCCTGCCACTGGATCAGCGGAGTGCGCTGGCCGCAGCGTGCCAGCCGTGGCGGCCTTTGGAGGGTGAACCAACAGCAAAGGAAGACCTTTCTCTCTGTTTCTCTCTCTCACTGTCCACTCTGCCTGTCAAAAAAACAAACAAACAAACAAAAAAAAACTAAATGAGCTAATACTTATACAGATCATAGGAAAATGCCTGTGGCATGATAAGCACTCATAGATTTTGGAGTTAGTATTATTTGGAACGCCATTTTTTGGAAGAGGCATCACTCAGAGGTTAAATGGCCATACACACCTATGACTAATAGAACTAAGACTTAAAACAAAGACTCATAAACTTCAAACTTTGGCCTCTTTTCCTAACTCCATGTTGCCTGTCTTATTTAATCACATTTTCTAATTCAGGGTTTGTAGGGGACAAATTCTTTTTCTAAGTCCTAAAAAGAGAGACCAGCTTTGTCACCCACTTTCAGGGTGAGATGCGTGCTGTCCTTTTTTCTGGTTTCCATTAGCACCGTGACTGTGTCCCAGCCTATCTGATGAGTCACTCTCCTTGGAATGGGAAGGAAGAAAAAGAAAAAGGAAGTGAGAATAGAAAAATGCAAATTGAGGGGCAGGCATTTGGCTCAAGAGATAGGACAACAGCCTCCCATACCAGAGTGCCTGGGTTCGATCCCTAGCTCCATCTCCCAGTTCCAGCTTCCTGTCAGTGTCCACTCTAGGAGGCAGCAGGTAACAGCTCCAGTACTTGGATCCCTGCCATCATGTGGGAAGCCTGGTTGGAGTTCTCAGCTCCCAGCTTTGGCCCACCTGACTTGGTACTGGCCCAGGGCTGGGGGTTGGGGGGCTGGGCAGGGAATGAGCCAGTAGACTGGAGCGTTCTCTATCTGTGTCTCTTGAAAACAATTTTTAATGTTTATAAAAAGCAGAAATTGATGAAATATATACATTGGAAAAAGTGGAATTAAATTACCAACTTCTACCTATTAACTTTATTTTTTTGAGTTTTTTTATGCTTTGTCTAGAAAAGGAATTCAAAAAAATGATAATAACTCCATAATCACAGTACTCAAATATTTGCTTCAGACAGTAAAGAATGCCGTTCCCAAACAAACGAAGACTTAAAGAAAGCGCTGGTTTTGCAGCTGGAAGTCAGCCAGCCAGCAGCATTCCTAAGGGGAAAGCAGGGTCTGTGAGCACCAGTGCTGTTTAGTGACAGGCAGAGTGGACAGTGAGAGAGACAGAGAGAAAAGTCTTCCTTTTGCCGTTGGTTCACCCTCCAATGGCCACTGCAGCCGGTGCACTGGGCTGATCTGATGGCAGGAGCCAGGTGCTTATCCTGGTCTCCCATGGGGTGCAGGGCCCAAGCACCTGGGCCATCCTCCACTGCACTCCCGGGCCACAGCAGAGAGCTGGCCTGGAAGAGGGGCAACCGGCACAGAATCCGGTGCCCCGACCGGGACTAGAACCCGGTGTGCCGGTGCCGCAAGGCGGAGGATTAGCCTAGTGAGCCGCGGCACTGGCGCAGTTTAGTTCTTATTTTCTCTCCAGTCCACACTCTGGCATTTTCTCTTCCATTCGCTCTTCTTCTTCCTTTATCGTTCCAACTTGTCTGTGTTTCAACAACATGTAATTTTTAGTGAATGCGGGTGACTGTTGTATAAGAACCCTTAGCCAAGAGAAGTATTTTCCAAGTGGCCCATCCAGGATCTCCGTGTAACTACATCCAAAGAGCACTGAGGATCAGTTCCTTGTCTTGCTGTTTTTCAAAAGGCTCTTCTTTCCTTTCTGACAGAGTGTAAGAAAAATAGAGGTATTTCCTTCTTTCTTTCGAGATAAGGTCTCCGCTTTTCAGTGGGCATAGTTGGTCTTCCATGTTTGGCCTCTGACCTCTCTTTTATTTATTTTAAAGATTTATGTATTTATTTGAAAGGCTGAGTGATGAGGGGAGGGGAGAGAGAGATTTTCCATCTGTTGATTCACTCCCTAAATGCCTGTAACAGCCGGGTTGGGCCAGGTCTCCCAAGTAGGGACTTAACCCCCGATGCCACAATATCCATGGCTCTGCTCTCTCTTTTCATTCCAGCTAAACACAAGTGTTCTGATCACAAACAGACTTGCTGCCTGAAGATCACTGTATGAGCCATTACTTCCAACTGTATTCCTTTTGCCCAGCCATCATCACTGGACAAATTCCTAATTGTGCAAAGCCCACATGATCTGTCACGTCTTCCAAGCATGCCCTAAAGCTCCCAGCTCCCAGTCTGACGAAGATGGTCCTTCTCCACGTGACACATCACGCTGCACAGACCTCCACCACAGCACAACAGGCAGGGCTAGGCTTGGGCTGGTCCACCCACAAAACAGATCCCACATTTGTCCCCTTCTTTTCATTGCCACCACTGCCTTTTTGATCCAGGTGACAACTCACCTCTTTCTTGGACAAATGGGAGTCTCCTAAGAGGTCTTCTGTTTACATTTCTCTCTCTTTAGTGCATCAATTACACCGCAGTCACATAATTTTTTTTTTAAAAAAAGATCTATTTATTTATTTGAAAAGGTAACAATGAGAGAAAGGGAGTAAGAGATCTTCCATCCACTGGCTCACTCCTCATGTGGACACAACAGCCAGGTCCCACCAGGCTGAAGTTAGGAGCGAGGAACTCCAACCAGGTCTCCTACATGAATGGTAGGAACCCAGATACTTGGACCGTCTTCTGCTGCCTTTCTAGGCACATTAGCAGGAAGCTAGATTGGAAGAAGAACATCCAGGACTTGAATTGGCACTCTGATATAGGATGCTAACATCACAAGCCACACCTTAACTGGCTTTACCACAATGCTGGCACCATGGTGATCTTTTTAAAAGGAAATATTTCATGAATACAAAGATATACATAATGTACCAAATTAACTATAACAAATAAAATGAACACCTAAGTACCCAATATCATCTTAAGAAATAGAAAACTTGGGGTAGGCATTTGGCACTGTGGTTAAGATGCCACTTGGGAAGCTCATATCTGTTGCTGCAGATTCATTCTGAGAGGAGGAGTGTGGTGGGTGCAAGAGGTGCGGAGTCACCACACAGACACCAGGAGTCTGGTGAAAGTGGGCCAGAGGAGAGCAGCCTGCAGACTTGTTTATTTCAGTTGGTGCAGCAGCTTATATAGCCGACACAGCCAATCCAGTCAAGGGGCGGTTTATGCCCTTACCAATCACAGCCTGTTGCCAGGCAGGCTCCATTGTCAGGTGGTTTCCAAAGCTATTCCTGAGTAACTGACGTTCCCTTGCCAGCAGCCATCTTGGCATGGCCTTCTCATTCTACCACACATATCCCATGTCAGTGTGTCTGAGTTTGAGACCTGCCTCTGCCCCATATTCTAACTTCCTGCTAATGTGCACCTGGGAGACAGACAGCCATCTTCTGCTTTTCCAGGTGCGCCAGCAGGGAACCGGATCAGAAGTGGTGCAGTTGGTCTTGAACCACTGCCCACATGGGACGCTGGCATCACAGGTGGTGGCTTTACTCACTCTGCCACACCGCCAACCCTATTTTATTTTTTAGAAAGATGCGTTTATTCATTTGAAAGTCAGAGTTATAGAGAGAGAGGGAGAGAGAAAGGGAGAGAGAGAGAGATTGTCCATCCATTGGTCACTCCCCAGATGGCTGCAAGAGCTTGGGCTGTGCCAGGCTGGAGCCAGAAGCATCATCTAGGTCTCCCCCATGAGAGTCAGGGACCCAAACTCTTAAGCCATCCTTTGCTGCATTTCCTGGGCCATTAGTGGGGAGCTGGATAGGAAGTGGAACCTCCAGGACACAAACTGGTGCCCATATAGGATGCTGGCGAGGCAGGCAGCAGCTTCACCTACTTCGCCACAACACTGGCCCCTTAATTCAACTTTAATTTGCATTTCCATCATTATTATTTATTTGCCGTTCATGCTTCTTTTTTGTGAGATATCTGTTTAGTTTTCTGTTCCTTTTTATATTATGTTGTTCATCTCTTTCCTATGAATATTTAGGTATTTGTAAAATATATTTTTAAATTAAATGTGTCATTGGGCCGGCGCTGTGGTGCAACAGGTTAATGCTCTGTCCTGAAGCGCTGGCATCCCATATGGGCACCAGTTTGAGACCCAGCTGCTCCACTTCCAATCCAGCTCTCTGTTATGGCCTGGAAAAGGAGTGCAAGATGGCCCAAGTCCTTGGGCCCCTGAACCCATGTGGGAGACTCAGAAGAAGCCTCTGGCTCCTGGTTTTGGATTGGCGCAGCTCCGGCTGTTGCAGCCATCTGGAGAGTGAACCAGCGATGGAAGACCTCTCTCTCTCTCTCTCTCTCTCTCTCTCTTTCTCTGCCTCTCCTCTCTCTGTGTAACTCTGACTTTCAAATAAATAAATAAATAAATAAAATCTTAAAAAATAAATTAAATATGTCACAGATACCTGCAAGGTATCCTTTAAAAACAGAAATTGAATCATGTCCTTTCATCCCTTAAAACCCTACAATGCCTTCCTGTCATACTTAGAATAAAATTTGAACTCTTGCTACGGTGCAGCAAACAGCAAGGCTAACTCTCAGTTCCCGCTCCTCCCCTGCAGGACTGGGAAGCAGCAGTGCAGGCTGGGGCACTGGCCGGCGCCCCCCACCCCCACCCCCACCCCCGGGGAAGGCCTGATTGGCATGAGAGTAATTACATTCCCCTTGCCAATGACCGGAACAAGAAAAGTCTCATGACCTCATTTTGGACAACAAAATTCAGAGAGAGAGAGAGAGAGAGAGAGAGAGAGAGAGAGAGAGAGGGAGGCTGAGAGGTCCCAGGAAAGTTGTTCGTACTCTTAGGAGAGACAGAGAAAAAGTCAGACGTTTTCCCACCGGACTTAAAAAACAAAGCGTGAGGAGAGCCGGAGGTTGCTGCTTCCGCCTCGGGAGGCTGATCCTGGAGCTGGGGAGAAGCTGATCCTGTACCTCCCTGGTGAGTGCTGCGTGCTGTGTGTTTCTGTTAAGGCCTGACACACGCTTTTCCTTCTGGATGCTTTCTCTCATAGACCCTTGCGAGCCTGGGTCTTTTCTCTCTTCAAAAAAAAATTAACGCTTTTTTACTTGAGAGGCAGACACACACACACACACACACACACACACACACACAGATCCTATCTGCTCTTCCGCCCTGCCAAATGCCTACGACGACTGGGACTTGGCCAAGCCAAAGCCAGGCACCAGAATCTGAACCTGGGAACTCAATCCAGGTCTCCCAAGTGGGTGACCTGGCCATGGGCCATTACCTGCTGCATCCCACGGTCTGCATTAGCGGAAAGCTGGTGTCAGGAGCCAGAGGTAGGAATCAAACCCAGGGACTCTGACCTGGAACGCAGGGCGTCTTAACTGCATTCGCCTCAGGCTGGCTCCTTACTGAACTCACTCTCAGCCCAAACAGTCCCCTCTTCTCAATGGCTTTTCCAGTGACCACTACCCCTGGCCAGTCACTGTCACGTGAACCTGTTTTATTTCCTGTAGGCCACTAATATATTTGTTTATTGTTTGGGTCCACTAGGATGTAAGCACCAGAATGTGGAGGACGTTGCCTCCCTGTTTTCCCTGTGTATTTCTCTACCCAGTATAGCTTAATCAGTGATTTTTTAAATTGTCTGTGTATTTGAAGGTCAGAGTCACAGAGAGAGAAAGGGAGAGAGAGAGATCCTCGGTCTGTTGATTCACTCCCCAGATGTCTGCAACAGCGGGGGCCGAGCCAGGCTGGAGCCAAGAGCCAGGAACCTCATCCAGGTCCCCCACATGAGAGACAGGGGCCCAAACACTAGGGCCATCCTCCTGCACTCTTCTCAGGCCACCAGCAGGGAGCTGGATGGGAAGTGGAGCAGCCAGGACACAAACTGGTGCCCACATGGAATGCTGGCATCACAGGCAGTGGCAGCGTTACCTCTATGCCACAGTGCTGGCTCCCCAATCAATATTTTCATCTTATTTTTTTTAAAATGATGAATTTTGTTGCTTATTTTCTGCACTAGATTGGAGCTCCTTGAAGTCAGGGAGTACATCTTACTGGTCTTTGTGTCTCAAGTGTCTAGTTCACTTGCTGCCAGACGGTGGGTGTTCAGAAAGCAGTTGAGTGAATGAATCAGATGCAGGGAAGGGAGAGCGATTGGGGAGAAATAGAATCCCAGTGTATTGCTTTTGGACAACATCCGTTGAATACAATTCTCTTTCATTTGTCTCACTGCCTGTAGGTATTCTAGTAGCCCTATAAGTAAAGGATGCATGACTTTCAACATGCTTTGCTAGCTGGTAACCTTCTTTTCAACCTCATCTCTCACCTCCTACATATGTAACATTTCTTTTTTTTTTTTTGAAAAAATATTTATTTATTTATTTTGGAAGTCAGAGTTACAGAGAGTGAGGGATCTTCCATCTGCTGGTTCACTCCCCAGATGGTCTCAATAGCCAGGGCTGGACCAGGCCGAAGGTAAGAGCCAGGAGCTTTATCTGGGTCTTCCATGTGGGTGATAAGAACACAAACACTTTGACAATCTTCCACTGCTTTTCCCAATCTATTAGCAGGGAGCTGGATTGGAAGTGGAGTATCTGGGTTATGAACTGGAGCTCACATGGGATGCCAGCATTGCAGGTGGTGTCTTCACCCGCTGTGCCACAATACTGGCCCCTGTATAAAGCATTTCTCACCCCAAATGTTGCAGGCATTCGGGGAGTAAGCCAATGGATAGAAGATCTCTCTCCTTATCATTTATTCTTTCTTTCTTTCTTTTTTTTTTTTTTTTTTTTTTGACAGGCAGAGTGGACAGTGAGAGAGACAGAGAGAAAGGTCTCCCTTTACCATTCGTTCACCCTCCAATGGCCACCATGGCTGGTGTGCTGCGGCCGGCACACTGTGCTGATCCGAAGCCAGGAGCCAGGTGCTTCTCCTGGTCTCCCATGCGGGTGCAGGGCCCAAACACTTGGGCCATCCTCCACTGCACCCCCGGGCCACAGCAGAGAGCTGGCCTGGAAGAGGGGCAACCGGGACAGAATCCGGTGCCCCGACCGGGACTAGAACCCCGGGTGCCAGCGCCGCAGGTGGAGGATTAGCCTAGTGAGCCGCGGCGCCGGCCGATCATTTATTCTACACTCCTACCACAGCAATGTCTAGAAAAATTGACTTTTATGATAGGAATACAATTCTGAAGCCTTCACACAAAATTAAAAACTTCTATAATTTAGTGCTATTTTTCTCATAACATAAAATGTAGATTTACTGAGGGAAAGATACTATTTTTCTAGCTGAAATGGCTCCGCCATGTGGCAGTAACATAAATGGTTTCCAATTCACTTCAGTACCTCCAGCTCTGAAAGAATGCAATTCCTGAGAAATACTAATGCTTGTGAGGACTGAACGTTGCTTCAAATGTGCTGCATATAGTGAGGTGTTAGTAATGGTTTATAATGAACCATTTCAAGTGCGTGTACTACCAATGTAGTTGTCTTTCCACTTCATGAGTTCTGTATTTGCACAATCAATTGCAGATCAAAAATAATGGAAAAGGGAAGCAGGCATTGTGGCACTGCCAGGAAGCCCCTCCTTGGGATGCCCATGTCCCATTTCAGAGTGTCTAGGATCAGTTCTTACCTCTGCTTCCTATTAATGCTCCAGGAAGGCAGCAGATGATGGCCCAAGTACCTGATTTCCCACCACCCACATAGGAGATTCAGATGGAGTTCCTGGCTCTTGGCTTTGACCTGGCCCAGCCCCAGCTGTTGCAGCCAATTGAGGAGTGAAACTGTGAATGGAAATCTCTCCATCTCTCTCTGTCTCTCCTTCTGTCTTTGTCATTCTGCTTTTCGAATAGAATAAATAAACAAATAAGAAATACAAGATGCTTTAAAAATACTAGGAGAAAATTGCATCCGCACAGAACATACACAACCTTTTTTCTTGTCATTACTCTCTAAACAATATGGTATAACAACTGTTTATCTAGTACTTATATGTACTAGGCGTTATAAGTAATCTAAAGACGATTTAATATACACTGGGGGATGTGTGTAAGTTAGATGCAAAGACTATACCAGTTTGTACAAACAACTTGAGCATTGTTGGAAGGCCCTGGAACCACTCTCCCTTGGATACTGACAGAAGACTGTACTCAGAAAAGCTGACCAGATTCTCTCATTGTTCCCAAAGCACACTTTCAAGCCTGTCCAGTTCTCTGCCTTTGCATGTGCTGTGAAGTGCAAGCACCTGGGAAGCTCAGGATGGGCAAAAATGCCACATCCGGAGGCGGGAGCCACACTGTGGGTCCAACAGCATCATGTGAGAACAATGGGTAAGTTTTTCTTTAAGAGTTTTTTACTTATTTATTTAGTTGAAAGGCAGAGTTACAGAGAGAGTGAGGGAGGGACTGAGAGAGAAATGTCTTCCATCCACTGGTTCACTCCCCAAATGGCTATAATGGCCAGAGCTAGGCCAGGAGCTTCTTCCAAGTCTCTCCATGTGGGTGCAGGGACCCACTTGGGCCATCCTCTACTGCTGTCCCAGGTGCATTAGCAAGGAGCTGGATCAGAAGTGGAGCAGCTGGACTCGAACCAGTTCCCATATGGGATGCTGGCACACAAGCAGCAGCTTTATGTGCTATACCAGAGAGTAATTAAAAAAAAAAAAAAAAACAGAAGAAAGACATAATTTATAACCGATGTCGACTAGGCTGAAACACTTAAAATCTGAATCTGAAGTGCCTTGAGCCAAGGGATAGAGAAAAGGGCTGAGTTACCAGAGAAGATAAGCCCTCCAGCCAGTAGTTCACCTGTGTTTAGATGGATGCACACTGCATTGTGGAAAGAAAATGTCCAGGAAGCAATATAGGCTCTTGTGGGCTCAGAAAGTCCCAGGATCCAGTGTCTGGAAGACTAGGCAATTCGACTCCTAATGGGGTTGCTCATCCCAGGAAAGCAGGAATTAGGAGGGTAAGGGTGAGGATGAGGGTGGAAGGGAGAGGTAATCTTCCCTGGGTTACTCTAAATCAGGGGTGGAAAAACTCGAAAGGCCACAGGCAATAAATGTAAATGAATAAAGCTAACTAGATACACAGTAGGCAGGCCCCTCTGGCCTAGCTGTTGTTTCTTCTCTTGATGGAAAAATGACTATATCATGGGCAAACAACAATATTTTCCTCTTTTTAAAAAATTTATTTATTTTATTTGAAAGGCAGAATTACAGAGAGAGAGAGAGAGTTTTCCATCCACTGGTTCACTCCCCAACTGGCCGCAATGGCTGGAGCTGCACCTATCCAAAGCCAGGAGGCAGGAGCTTCTTCCAGGTCTCCCACACGGGTGCAGGGGCCCAAGGATTTGGGCCATCTTCTACTGCTTCTTTTTTTTAATTTAATTTAATTTTATTTTATTTTTGACAGGCAGAGTGGACAGTGAGAGAGAGAGACAGAGAGAAAGGTCTTCCTTTGCCGTTGGTTCACCCTCCAATGGCCGCCGTGGCCAGCGCGCTGCGGCTGGCGCACCGCGCTGATCCGATGGCAGGAGCCAGGAGCCAGGTGCTTTTCCTGGTATCCCATGGGGTGCAGGGCCCAAACACCTGGGCCATCCTCCACTGCACTCCCTGGCCACAGCAGAGGGCTGGCCTGGAAGAGGGGCAACCGGGACAGAATCCGGCGCCCTGACCGGGACTAGAACCCGGTGTGCCGGCGTCGCTAGGCGGAGGATTAGCCTAGTGAGCCGCGGTGCCGGCCCTACTGCTTCTTCTACCAAGCCATAGCAGAGAGCTGGATTGGAAGTGGAGCAGGCAGGACTCAAACCAGTGCCCATATAGGATGCTAGCACTGCAGGTGGCTGCTTTACCAGCTACGGCACAGCACCAGCCCCAAACAACAATATGTTCAAGAGAAGCTAGCTACCCAGATTTGTGAGTAAAACTTCCTGATTCTAAATATTGGTTCAAAAAAAGTTTAAATCACCGTGCAGGCACAATAGAATATTTAGCAACAGAATGTTGTTCCATAGTCTGCCACTGTATGAACTCTGAAGTTTGCTGTCGGGTCTGATGAGATATCAGGAGGTCTTCCCAAAGCAAATTTCAGTTGGAGCAACATGTAAATGTGAATGAGTTCCATAGATTTGCAGAATGTTTATTGTAGATTCTAGACTTTGATCCAACATAAAAATCTGGTCTTTTCCATCAATGCAGGAAGAGGTAACCAACACATATGAAAGATGGATAACAAAGGAGGGCCCAGAGATGAAGAGTTTGCTTTGAGACTGATCCTGTGTGCTTTGACTGGGTGGAGCTTCCTGGGCACAATAGGCAGAAGACATGTTTTCAATGGCAGATGGTGCCTCTTTGTAGAATTTATAAAGATTTCCTAATAGTATGGGTTTCACACTAAAATGCTGTTTCTGGTTGCTTTGTCCCACCAAGTGTCCCTGAGCCTTCCGGCTGGAGTTCAAGGAGTAGGTCCTAAGAATTCCATTCTTGGGGGGACTGCCTTCCTGGGTGGATCATTTAGGATGGACCCCCTGGGAAATCAGCGCTTGCTCTTGTGCCCACATGGGGGTTGAGTGTGTGGGTGTGAATTGCTGGGTGGAAAGCTGGCACAAAGGGTGCCACCCTGACAATGAGGGCAGAGCAGGAGATGTGGCAAAGAGGTGCTGATAGGAATCTCTGGGCATGGGGTGGGGAAGTGCAATTCCTGGCATGAAAAGGGTGGCAGCAGTTGTAAAACTGGTCCCCTCCACCTCCCTCCTCCTGTTTTCCTGAGCTCTTGTTCAAACAATTATACCCTCTTTGACACACGTTTAATCTCCCATCTGTACTGGCTCCTTCCTCTTATCTTCCGGTAGATGTAAGTTTTCCCTTTCTCCCCAGAGAGCTTCCCTAGTGTTCACCTCCCTCCCGGCTTCCTGCAGACTGGCTTCTGTGCACCTTGCCCCTCCACTGAAACAGCCCAGCTCAGGCTGCCTCTGAGCCAGCTGCCAGTCTCGGTCTTACTTGGCTTTTCTGTAGCTTGAAGTCCCATCCCCCACCTTCCCCTTGCTCCCTGGGGATTCCAGGATGCATCTCCCCAGGTCTCCGCATACTTCTGTGGCTGCTCTTTGTCTCCTAGCTCCTCCATCTTCACCCATGCTTTAAATGTTATTGTTTCCAGAGCTAAGGCTACCCACTTTAAGAAGCAGCAAAAGGTACATCGTACTCTGATTGGGCTGGGGGCGAGGCTTAGTCCACGCCCTGTGCTGTGAACACCCCGCACAGGTGCCTGCTGCAGCCCCAGGTAGCATCCCTGGTTCTCACCAACTTCTTGTTCTGTCCTCTTTCCTTCTGTAACATCCTGACTTTCATGGTTCCAGCTATAACCTATGTGTTTACCTAATCTCCAGATACCTTTTCACCTGCCTCTTGGACTTCTTTTGCTGGGTATCTATGGGTACCCCAAACTTGCCATGGTTCAAATTGAACCCAGACCTGAACATCCCCAAACTCCAAAATATCCCCTTTTTTTTATTCCCTCTCTTGATTAACGACATGTTCCATCCTCTCATTCAGTTAAACACTTAGAGATTATCTGTGCCTCTTCCGTTTCCACAGTTGAAAGCTTTTGTCATCTCCCAAGTACACAACTGGAATAGCCTTCTTATTAGTTTCCTTATCTTCAAGGTCTATTTCCTCCTCATTGCCACCACATTTCTTCTAAAGATTTTAAAAAATGTTTATCTATTTATTTGAAAGGCAGAGAGAGAGAAAGATCTTCCATCTGTTTGTTCACTCTCCAAATAGCCTCAACGACCCAGGCTGGGTCAGGCCAAAGCCAGGAACCAGGAGCTTCTTTCAGGTCTCCCACAAGGGCCCAAGCACTCGGGCCATCTTCTGCTACTTTCCCAGGTATATTGGTGGGGAGCTGGATTCGAAGTGGAGAAGCCGAGACTAGAACCAGTGCCCATATAGGATGCTGGCACTGCAGGCAGAGCCTTCATCTGCTACGCCACAGCCCAGATTTCTTTCTTTACATAGATGTGAGCACATTGCTCCTTTATTTAAACATCTATTCTGGTTTCTAATTAATGATAAGATAAAGTCCAGATGCTCAGATGTGGCACATAAAAACCTTCATATCCTGGTCCAAACATATTTTTCTAGACCTACACCTTGCCTCGGAACCCCACACAGTAATGCCCTTAGCCACATCACACTATGATGCAGTCTTTTTTTTTTTTTTTTTTTTTTTTTTTTTTTTTTTTTTTTTTTTTTTGACAGGCAGAGTGGACAGTGAGAGAGAGAGACAGAGAGAAAGGTCTTCCTTTGCCGTTGGTTCACCCTCCAATGGCCGCTGCGGCCGGCGCACCGCGCTGATCCGATGGCAGGAGCCAGGAGCCAGGTGCTTTTCCTGGTCTCCCATGGGGTGCAGGGCCCAAGCACCTGGGCCATCCTCCACTGCACTCCCTGGCCACAGCAGAGAGCTGGCCTGGAAGAGGGGCAACCGGGACAGAATCCGGCGCCCCAACCGGGACTAGAACCCGGTGTGCCGGCGCCGCTAGGCGGAGGATTAGCCTAGTGAGCCGCGGTGCCGGCCAATGATGCAGTCTTGAACATGACTTTGCTATGTGCTTTCATGTCTTTGTGCCTTTGCTGGTGCAGCAAATACCTTGTAAAATCCCGTCCACCCTTTAAGTTTATGCCAACTTTTCACCTCTCTTTTGAGATGCCTCTGACCCTAGTTAACTCTCTTCACTGTTTCTACATATAACACCAGCAGTATGCTAGTATGGATTGTCTAAAAGTTGCTTTGTGTCTTTTTCCTATTATATTACAAGTTTCTTAAGGGCAAGATTAGGCTTTGTGAGTCTCCATTTTATCAGCAACTTGCCCAGTGCCAGGTACATTGTATATCTTGAAAAAAACCTATGACTGGAATTGGGCAGGATGTTTGAACGTGGTTTTGTGAAAGGATTGATAATTTCTTTCAGTGTAATTTCCAGCCTGCTCCTTTTCTCCAGGTATTGGGAGAAGTTCCGGGTAAAACAGTGGATGAATCCTGTTGGAGATAGTTTGTGTGTCACATTCCCAGTCCTTGGCTAAGTCTCCCTAGCAACATAAAGATTGCAACTTGTCTAACGACTGATTGGTGTCTAAGTGTGGATTTTCCCAGACGTCAGAGTTTCTTAAAACCACTGATGATTTTCCATCTCAGACCTACATTCCAGGTTGCACAGTGAACGGATGTCGGACTCATCCTGGCACTGCAGTATGGGATGCAGTTATGCAGCAGCTTAACCTGCGGTGCCCACTCCCACACACACACACACCCACACACACACCCACACACACACACACACATTTATATATATTTTTAATCACCTGTGGTTCTCACCCCACTCACTCATTAGGGTTCAGATTTCAGGGCACAAGAAATGATATAAACAAAAATGAAGTGTTCACTGCCTCAAAACCTCGGAAAATCACGGAGTTACCATGGAAGCTTAGAGTGGGGAGCCTGGCAGGAGCAGGGAAACCTTGCTCCCGCCAGGGGCCATTTGGATAGCTATCACATCATTCGGGGGCCACACAACAGTACCAACTTAAGCAGCCTGCTGTATAAATTTATTGAATTTCCATTTCTGCTGCAGTTGCCTTGGTAAGGCCAGATCAAATGATTTCTCAGGCCGTATACCCCTGCGCGCCGGCCGGTGCCCACCAGTGAGCCTGACCAAGCTGTACTGAGGCCCGAGGCTGACCGCCGTCTTGCCCAGACTTAAGCCCCAGAGTTCCAGCTGGACTGTGCAGGAGGCACACCCGCACTCGGTGAAACCCGGAATACGTCGTCTTCTTGAAACGAGCAGATACACGCTCGCAGAACCGGGGTAGTAACTTCCGAGTGGGTGGCAGAGAGCGAACCATGCGTGGATTTCATTTTCATTTTTCTTGCACTAAAATAAACCTATCCTTGAATTCCATTTTCCACTAACTTTTTAAACTTAGCTCTGATGAGTTCGAGCAACAAGTTGCCGCGGAAAACGCAGCCAACGGTCAGCGAAGGATGCCCGCGGGGAGAGCCTCCGGGGCATCTCTGGTGGTTGTCAACCCACTGTAAGCGCTGGGCTTAATTTGGGAGGCGCTGGCGTCTTAACGAGGTCAGTTCTCCGATGCCAGAGTTTTCCGGGTTCGGGCCCAGCACACAACCCCTCACGCTCCCTCCTCGGAGCGACGGCCCTGCGGCCACAAAGCGGGAGCACCTATGACCGCGGGCGCCCGCGCTGCCCGAGCCGAGCGTGGGCAGCGCCGGCGACCCAGCTCCGGGGCACGGGGGCCGGGGTGGCCTCTGGACCCGCCCGGGCGGGGGCACCGGCCGCACGGAGCGCGTCAGCCCGGCCGCCCCCGTCGGCCCTCCCCCGGGCGGGGCCAGCCCCGACGGCGCTGAGTCAGCAACGCGAGGGGGGAGTTTTGTCCCTCCGCGGACCCCGTTTCTCAGGGCCTCAGCCTCCCCGCCGCCACCGAGCCGGTTTCCTTTTTCCGGCGCTCCGGGTGCGAGAGGCAGGTCCGGCCACTTTGGCGGCGAGAGCCACAGTGCAAGCCCAGCACTCGCCTGAGGACCCCGAGAGCTAGCGTGACCCCGCCGGGCAGCTTAGGCGCCATGAGCAACGCGGGTGAGGCGCCGCTGTTCCCCGCCGAGGGCTGCCGGGGTCCTCCGAGGGGGGCTCCGCGGGACCCGTGAGGCCCGGCGGCGGGGAAGGCCGGGGCCAGGGGCGGTGGCGGGGATGGAGCGGCCTGCGGAGCGGGACCCTGCGGCGTTCCCCTCGCGAAGTTCGGCCCGGGAGGTGGGAACCCGGGACCGCTCGTCTCCAGCGTCTTCTTGGCGTTGAAATCCCGTTTGGTCTTCCCGACAGGACTGAATTTGGAGAGAGTGGCTGCGCTCATTCAGAAGCTGAATTCCGACCCCCAGTTCGTGCTTGCCCAGAATGTGGGGACCACCCACGACCTGCTGGACATCTGCCTGAGGAGGGCCACGGTGCAGGGCGCGCAGCATGTGTTCCAGCACGTCGTGCCGCAGGAGGGCAAGCCGGTCACCAACCAGAAGAGCTCGGGTGAGGGCTGCCGGCGCCCCGTTGGGGTGGCTTAGAGGAAGCGTGGGCTTAGGGGAGCGGAGGTTTGTACTGAAGGAACTTGTCGCTCCGCTTAGAGACTAGGGAAAGGCAGGTGTCGGACGGGACCCGTGTGGCTTCTTTTGGCGCTCTCTGACTAATTAGCACATTTGGTCGGAGCCTTGAGTGTAACTCTTCTGTGTCTTGGTCACAAAACAGAGCGTGCCACAATTGTGCCTGCCCCACAGGACTCCCCAGAATTGCCCTGAGAGCCCTGTGCAGATGGATACAACAGAAGAGACACGGTGTGATTACATCAAAATGTCACCAGATATTTTAAAGTACGCTTCTTGGTTACGACCGGAGCTCATGGGCTCAGTTCCCACCCGTAGACCAGTTTGTAACACAGAAAATTCAGGCCTTGCTGCCATCTGTTATTCCACACCACTGTCAGAAAAAAGGCTGCGTCAAAGACTTTTTGTCCCAGAAGCTCACTAAGGAGAACATTGTCACAATGAAAGTGTGTTAAAAGGGTTTTTAAAGAAGTTTTTACCCATTTAGAAGCGCTATTCTCAGTGTGTCGACAGAAAGCACATTGCGCTTTCTCAGAGCCAGTTGACACCCGTGTATATGTTATGTATTTGTTATGCCTCAGTAAAGTTGATTTTTAAATTTTAAGGAGAATCATAACTTTATAGTAGTTAATATTTTGCCGTACTAGAGAGCCCGTGGCATGGTGTGGGCTGTCAGGCCACAAATGAGCCACTTAGTCATGTCACAGTGGTCCTGAGTAGTTCAGAGTGCAGTGACCTCGGGAGAAGCCTGGAAATGACCGTCTGGAACAGGTCAGGTCTTCTGCTGGTAATTCTGTAGCGTCGCTTTTATTTACAGAAGATATAAATAGCAGATGAACTGTGGAGTTTCTTTTCGTATTAGCAGTTCATCCAGATTCCCTCCACCAAAAATATGTAGGGTGTAGGAGAAACCAGGCACAAAGATAAAGATGAGCGACGCTAAGGCATTGATAACTTTGGGAAAACATTATTTTAAAATTGTTTTTCGTGTTACAAAATTATTCTTGTTCAGCAGGGGAAATTTTCAAAATACCAGCACAAAAATATTTTTTTCTGTATATCTGTCAGGTCTTTATTCTGTGTGTATGCATGTTTCTGTATAGCTTACACATTACTGGGTAACCTACTTTTTTTCACTTACCCTAATATATTGTGTGCATATTTCCATATCAATAAAAAAGTTATACCCAAATATAAGTCAAGGTTTTTCCCTCTGAATTATCCTAGAAAAGAGTTACTGTATTCAAGGCCTTACTGAGACTTAAGAATGGTACTTTCTAGGGCCGGCGCCGCGGCTCACTAGGCTAATCCTCCACCTTGCGGCGCCGGCACACAGGGTTCTAGTCCCGGTCGGGGCGCCGGATTCTGTCCCGGTTGCCCCTCTTCCAGGCCAGCTCTCTGCTGTGGCCAGGGAGTGCAGTGGAGGATGGCCCAGGTGCTTGGGCCCTGCACCCCATGGGAGACCAGGAAAAGCACCTGGCTCCTGGCTCCTGCCATCGGATCAGCGCGGTGCGCCGGCCGCAGCGCGCCGGCCGCGGCGGCCATTGGAGGGTGAACCAACGGCAAAAAAGGAAGACCTTTCTCTCTGTCTCTCTCTCTCACTGTCCACTCTGCCTGTCAAAAAATAAAAAAAAAAAAAAAAAAAAAAAAAAAAAAAAAAAAAAAAAAAAGAATGGTACTTTCTGTTAATTATTCTGAAGAAGAATACATTCTCGCAAAGCCATTACTCTGAAATAACTTTGGTTCACACAGGTTTAGGAACTTATAGTGAGCATTTAATTGGATCATTTTTTAAAGGCAAAAACTGGACACAGTATATTCCTAGGATTTGACCTAGTGTGGAAATGTTGTACATTATTATAATAGGTCATTAAAAGATCACTTAAGTCTGTACGGGAAGTAGTGACATATGGAGTTTGTGATTATACACATGTAGGACAAATGAAGAGTATAATTGTACAGTTGATTGTTGGCATCAGCTTTTCAGGGACAACATCACGCATGGACTGAAAACTTTTCTGTGACTGAAACACTAGATGGAGGAAGGATGATGTGTTCTGACTAAAAGAGTGGAGCTAATGGTGGGAGAGGCACTGATGCATGTGCAGAGTATGCATCCGTGTGACAATGGGGATCTCAATCTGTTTATTATGTTAACATGATTGTAATGGGTGGATAATTTAGTTTCATCTATTTTTTTTAAAGATTTATTTTATTTATTTGACAGAGTTACAGAGAGAAGGAGACAGAGGTCTTCCATTGCTGGTTCACTCCACAAATGGCTGCAACGGCTGGAGTTGAGCCAATTTGAAGCCAGGAGCCAGGAACTTCAACCAGGTCTCCCACACGGGGTACAGGGGCCCAAGGACTTGGGCCATCTTCTACTGCTTTCCCAAGCCACAGCAGAGAGCTGGATTGGAAGTGAAGCAGTCAAGACTCGAACCAGCACCTATATGGGATGCAAGCCATTGCAGGCTGGGGCTCTAACCCCGCTGCACCACAGTGCTGGCTGCCAACTATATCTTTAAATGTGTATATAATCCAGTAGACTAAATACCTCCCTTTTTTTTTAACTCATTGGGAAAATAGGAGATTGACTTATGTTAAGGTCATCTTACATTAATCCATATTAAAAGATAGATATTTTTTTTTTATTTTTTTATTTTTTTTTTTTTTATTTTTTGACAGGCAGAGTGGACAGTGAGAGAGAGAGAGACAGAGAGAAAGGTCTTCCTTTGCCGTTGGTTCACCCTCCAATGGCCGCCGCGGCCAGCGCGATGCGACCGGCGCACCGCGCTGATCCGATGGCAGGAGCCAGGAGCCAGGTGCTTTTCCTGGTCTCCCATGGGGTGCAGGGCCCAAGCACCTGGGCCATCCTCCACTGCACTCCCGGGCCACAGCAGAGAGCTGGCCTGGAAGAGGGGCAACCGGGACAGAATCCGGCGCCCCGACCGGGACTAGAACCCGGTGTGCCGGCGCCGCTAGGCGGAGGATTAGCCTAGTGAGCCGCGGCGCCGGCCAAAAGATAGATATTTTTAATATAATGTTTACCATTTCTATTTGAGAGGAAGAGAGAAAAATCTTATCCACTGGTTGACTTCCCAAATGCTTTCAAGAAGCCAGGGACTTGAAATTCAGATCCGGTCCCCCATGTCGGTGGCACAAACCCAGTTACTTAGGCCGTCATCACTGCCTCCGCGGAGATCTACATTAGCAGGAAGCTGGAATAGGAGCTGAAGCAGGGGTGGAACTCAGGCACTCCGAAGTGGAATGTGGGCATCCTAACCAGCAACTTAACCGCTAGGTCAGACACCCGACGTCGGTATGGACTTGTTAAAGCTTTAGCTAGCAGCTGCCAAATTGCGTCAGGTATTTTGCACCTATTTAGATCCTTATCCAGAGTGATAATACTTATTTCCCTTAGTCCTTGCCAATTTTGGGCATTATCAGTAAAAAAAAAAAAATTCCCCACTTAACAGGTACCTCATGATGAGCTTTTTTAAAAAATGTTTCTTTGGAGGCCAGCGCTTTTGTATAGCAGGTTAAAGCCACGGCCTGAAGCACTGGCATCCCATATGCACTCCGGTTCAAGTCCCAGCTGGTCCACTTCTGATCCAGCTCTCAGCTATGGCCTGGAAAAGCAGTAGGAGATGGCCTAAATGCTTGGACCTCTGCACTTGTGTGGGAGACCTGGAAGAGGTTCCTGGCTCCTGACTTCAGATCAGCACAGCTCCGGCCATTGTAGCCATTTGGAGAGTGAACCAGCAGATGGAAGATTCTCTCTCTCTCTGTCTCTGTCTCTACCCCTCTCTGTAACTCTGTCTTTCAAATAAATTAAAAAAAAAAAAATCTTTAAACTAAAAAAGTTTGTCATCTGTATCTATTTTAGTCACTGGATGATCTGTTTGTGATTTCTGCTCATGTTTTTCTAGTGGTGCTTCCTTTTCTAGTATGATTTGTAATAGATTCTTTACATGATATATAAAGAGTTTTTATATACATTAAAGGTATTGAGCCTTTACACATACATTGCAAACAGTGATTGCTACCTGTCTTTTCTTTTTAATGTTTCTACTCTTTCTGATTTAGTCATAATTGTCCAATTTTCCAAATCTCCTCTTGGGATCAGTGTTGGGAAATACAGTTGGATTGTGTAATCTCACGTGAGTGTGAACACTCATGCTTTCTTGTTTTGCTTTCTTGTTTCAGGGCGATGCTGGATCTTTTCTTGTCTGAATGTTATGAGACTTCCATTCATGAAAAAATTGAATATTGAAGAATTTGAGTTTAGTCAATCTTATGTGTTTTTCTGGGACAAGGTATGGTACTGAGCTTGCATAACTTTATTTTCAGTAGCATTCTTGGTAGGGATGGCCTCTGTTTTTCTTGCTTTTTCATCTCTAGTCTACCCTTGCATTGTAAGTGGGACACCACTTATACTGAATTTTAAAACATCAGAAGTTGACTCTTTGCAAGGGTAGAACTGCTTTTAGTTAGCAGGTGGTTGCTCTTTGCAAAGAAATAAGATGTCTACTGACTCGCCTTGCTACTTGCTTATGTATATTTTAAATTTTGTTTTCTATAATTTCCCTTTTAATCGTCTTCATTTAGGTTTTTTGGTTATTCTAGAATCTAATTTCCTTTCTGTAATTTTGTAATTTCTGTAATTTACTTGTTCAAGAACAGTAATAACTTTACTCCATTTTAAATTCTCTAAGATATAAGTGTCCCTTTGATATTTGTTGGTTGAAAACTTGAAATACATTTCACTTCATTATTGGGATGTGTAAACATACACACTATGTAGGAATGTGTACACAGGTGTAACAGACTTCAGCTGGTCCTACAAACTATTTGCTGATACTTAATCACCAATTTTAGTTTTAAAAAGCCTGTTACGTTGAGTCCATGGTAGTTCCAAGGCTCTCATTTCATTGATAATGCCAATAAAGTTATTGACTCTGTTTTCCGTTCATCTCATTTAACTTCCTTTGTTCTAGGTTGAACGCTGTTATTTCTTCTTGAACGCTTTTGTGGACACAGCACAGAAAAAGGAACCTGAGGATGGGAGGCTGGTGCAGTATTTGCTTATGAACCCTACAAACGACGGTGGGCAGTGGGACATGCTTGTCAACATTATTGGTAAGAGCCTCTCACTAACAGAACTGGTACAGCACAGTTGAGCGTGGCTTGGTAGTTAAGAATAGGCCATTTCTTTGGTGTTTAAGTACAGAGTTAATTGGTTTCCAAGAAATTGATATAGTTGGGTATAAGAACCTTTATTTCCCATTCTTACAAATAAAGTGCCTTTCTCAAATGAGAGATTGGGAGATAGGTACTTTGATGGGTGAGTTGGAGAAGAAAATACGAACTAGAACTAATTTTTCGTGAAAAAGCTTATTCTTGTATTATTGAAGCAATGAGGAAACATTAAAACAGCAACTGTTTAAAAATGTCCTTATCCAAAGCAGTATCTTTTGAGAAAACTTTATCATGCTGAGCACTTCACAACATGAAGTATAAAAAGAATAGAATTAATTCTAGGATAGGTATATAAATATGCACATTTAAAATCTATTTAATAGTAAGAAGCAAAAGATTTTCTGAATTAAAGTCAGCAAAGTATAAACTGTTTTAATTTAAAAGCAATAGATATTTTTAACAGAGTTCCTAATACTGACATATACTTTCACCTTATTGAATGCTAAAATTTGTTTTCTTCTAGAAAAATATGGTGTTGTGCCAAAGAAATGCTTCCCTGAATCACATACAACAGAGGCAAGCAGAAGGATGAATGACATTCTGAATCACAAGGTATATATACAGAGTAGGGCGCAGCTGACTTTACAGTACTTGCCTGAAAATTTCTAACTGGGTTCTTAAAGGGAATGTACACAGATTATGTATGGAATAGCTGTTGTTGCCAGTGTCTATCAAAAGCAGTGTAGCTACATATTAATGAAAAAGAATTGAGGTTAGGGTTAGGTTTTTTTTTTTCTTTTTAAATGCTTTCACTTAAAAAAAAAAAGTCTTTATTTTCACATACTTGAAAGGCAGAGCAACAGAGAGAGAAAATGAGAGATCTTTCATCTGCTGGTTCAGCCCCCCAAGTGCCCCCACAACAGTCAGGGCTGGGCCATGCCAAAGCCAGGAGCCTGGAACTCCGTCCAGGTCTCCCATGTGGGTGGCAGGGGCGTAAGCACTTAAGACATCATTTGTTTGAGCAGGAGACTGGGTGGGAAGTTGAGTAGCCAGTATTTAAACCGGAACTCTTTTTTTCTTTTTTTTTTAATTTATTTGACAGAGTTATAGACAGTGTGAGAGAGAGAGACAGAGAGGAAGGTCTTCCTTCCGTGGGTTCACCCCCGAAAAAGGCCGCCACGGCCAGAGCTATGCCAATCCGAAGCTCGGAGCCAGGTGCTTTCTCCTGGTCTCCCATGCAGGTGCAGGGCCCAAGCACTTGGGCCATCCTGCACTGCCTTCCTGGGCCACAGCAGAGAGCTGGACTGGAAGAGGAGCAACCAGGACTAGAACCTGGCTAGAACCTTATGGGATGTGGGTGCTGCAGGGGGAGGATTAACCAAGTGAGCCACGGCACTGGCCCCCCTAAACCAACAGTCTTATGTGGGATGTGGGTATCCCAGGAGATAGCTTAACCCATTATACCCCCAACACGCATCCCTAAAATCTTCCACTTTTATTTCTGTTGATATGAATGTTTTCTTATGGGTACTTGGGGAAAAATGTCCCATGCTCAATTAATATGGGCTGAAAGTATGAAAGTACACCAGGTGCTGTGCCTCTTGCTTGGTTCTTGTAGAGTGATGGGCTGGGACAGCTTTATGTCTAAGGAAAACAAAACAGACAAAACTACTTCCAAGACATCCTTGAAGAGTACGCTGAGTTCTGAGACTTCCCTGGACCACATCAATGGGCCTTACCCACCCACTGGAGACTTGATTTAGTCACTGAGCTCTTTTTATTGCTTTAGTTGCCTTAATGAATCATTTTCTCTTTTCTACATAATCCATTTTCCCAGAGAGGATTATAAATCCTGTAAGGGTGCTGCTCTGCTACCCAGATAGCTTTCTGGGGGGAACTGGAAACTGGGAGAATCTGCTATGAGGCTGAAATGAAATCTTTCATCCCAGGGAGAAAAATTACATTTTGAAGTAGATATAGATGTGTTTCCACAATACTAGAAGTAGGTTATTTTCAACCCTGGGGATTCTTAACACAGACTAAAAGATCACAGATAGTATAGCATTAGATTCCATTTTTAATGGGAGCAAATCTTCTTTAGCACCATATTAAAGTTCAGATTTGCCTGTATATTAAAATTGAAAGCAACAAAAGTAGAAACTGTTGGAGACTGACATAGGCATGGTTATAGTGAGTTGGCAGAGAAAGTGCTGGGGACAGCTAATAGACTCTAAGTAAAAAATCTGGAGTGACTCCGTGTCATAGTCCCCTTGTCTTCTATGTTTTCTAAAGGTGACAGGCATTACGGAGTCAGGCGTTTTCCCCACACCCAGATGCATAATGTCACAAAAGAAACTATCAGTTGGAGAGCAATAACCATTCCATCTAGTGTTCTTTAGGAACAAGCCATGTCTCTTCTCTTCATGGACAGTATTTTGTGCTGTGTATTTAAGTGGACTGCTGGGGGAAATATATTTGCTTTTTTTTTTTTTTTTTTTTTTTTTTTTGACAGGCAGAGTTAGAGAGAGAGGGAGACAGAGAGAAAGGTCTTCCTTTTCCATTGGTTCACCCCCAAAATGGCTGCCACAGCCGGCATGCTGCGCCAATCCAAAGCCAGGAGCCAGGTTCTTCCTCCTTGTCTCCCATGCTGGTGCAGAGCCCAAGGACCTGGGCCATCTTCCACTGCAGTCCCGGGCCACAGCGGAGAGCTGGACTGGAAGAGGAGCAACCAGGACAGAATCTGGCGCCCCAACCAGGACTAGAACCCAGGGTGCCGAGTTATAGACAGTGAGAGGGAAAGACAGAGAAAGGTCTACCATCCACTGGTTCACTCCCCAGTTGGCTGCAATGGCTGGATCTAAGCCGATCCAAAGCCAAGAGCTTCTTCCAGGTCTCCCATGTGGGTATAGGGGCCTATGCACTTGGGCTATCTTCTCCTGCTTTCCTAGGCCACAACAGAGAGCTGGATTGGAAGAGGAGCAACTGGGACTCCAACTGGCATCCATACAGGATGCTGATGCTGCAGGCAGAGGACTAACCTGTGCCACAGTGCCAGCCCCCACATTTGCTTTTATAAACTTTGCTCTGGGTCTTGGTGGAGTTATCTGCAGAATGGTACTAGCATTGGTCTGTTAGGTTCGTTTACAGTTTGTGCAACTGTTGGAGTGCTGAATACATTTCTCCCATAGATGAGAGAATTCTGCATACGACTGCGGAACATGGTGCACAGTGGAGCAACCAAAGCAGAAATCTCAGCCACGCAGGATACCATGATGGAGGAGGTAATGACAATTAACTGGATTTTGTGTGTGAGACCTTTCTAAAACACTCTCAGAATACTCCATTTATTAAACTTATTAGGAAGCATAGTCATTGTAATGAATGTTAAATTGAATGAAAACTACTTAACAGTGCAAGTGAAAAAGCTGAGGCTTAAATGTACTTTGCATTTTAATATGGGACTTAGGCTTGAGTTTTGGTTTCTAATTCCTGGTTTAGTGGTCCATACATAATTTATTCTTTTATTTCTTTCTTAAATACTGAGTAGTAGTCGCACTAGGGCGACCACGGAGAAAGAGTCTCTGCTGTCAAGGAGCTCAGTGTCTGGGGAAAAAGAAAACATGTGAATAATTACAGTAAATCCTACACTACGTGTGTGAGAAAGGATTTGGTGATCACAGAGAATTACGAATTCAGTGAGCTGATAGTTGCACAGGGAAGAAATCTGGACGAGCTCCTGAAAGAACAGTAGGACTTTATTCAGGAGATAACAGAAAACCATTCCAGGCAAAGGGAATTGTGTGTGCAGTGGCATGAACGAAGGAAGAACCTTCAGAGAATAGGGTGGCTGAAACGAAGTTTTTGGGGGTGTGATTGGTAGCCAGTGGAGCTAGAAAGGCAGAGATGTGAGGGATCGATCAGGGGTGGATGCCAGAACTTTAGGCTTCATCTTGTAGGAATAAAGATGGAAAGCTGTTGATAGTTACATCAGTCAAAATAATGTATGTGAAAAATTTTGGAATGCTCAAGAAGTGCTGAACAAATACAAGGTGGTAACAGTATTTATTATCAAAAGCAGTTTAGAATCGAATACTATCCATATCCAGAATGAGTATGCATAAAGCTGTGAAGTTGCTTTAGAAGAGAATAAGCAATGTCCCTTTTCAGCCAGTGGGCCCATTACTAGGCCTCCTGTGGATTGTGGAGTGAAACTGGCCTACATTTTGTGTTTTTACTATAATGGAGAACACTAATGTTTCATGTTTTCCTTTAAACTGCAGAGGCAGCATGGTGGGGGAGTCGAGAGAACGGTCTGTGGAGTCAGACTGAGCTTCAGTCTTCTTACTTAGGGGCCGTGTGACCTGGGACGAGTCCCTGGAGTTCTCAAGTCTCAGTTTGTTCACGTGTGACGTGTCTGGCTCAGTACTTGGCACAATAACTGTTTCTTAAATACTTGTTGAGTAAATGATTTTATTTGGATTATCTCATATTTACCTTGTGTTGAAGAGACTTAGTGTAGCAGGAAAAACAGACTTTGGAGTCAGAGCTACCTGGGTTTAAATTCTGCCTGTGTCAGTAAATAGCCTGTGGTCTTGGGTAGGTTACTTAACCTGAAGTTTAGTTTGGGATTTAAAATACCTTCCTCATTGGGATTTTTGGACATCAAATAAGGTAGTAAATACAAAAATGCAAGGCATAGTGCCTGGCATTAGTGGGAATCCAGTGAATGTTAGTTCCTCTCCCTTCCTGCTCGCAGAGACCTTTTTCCTACATAATTTGCCTTTATTTATGTTTAGATAAAGATGGTGTGGTGTAGAGGTGAAGGTCCTGCAGTGGTGCATAAGTTTCCAGATAATACTTCTAACAGATTACAGGCATCATATTGGCCTCTGATGTTTGCTTTAATGATCCTGGGATTAATGTTGTGTCTAAAATCCAAGTCCTGACCATGAGGTTGGTAGAGGGTGTTGAGTGGCTGGTAAGAATTAAGGCAGATCTAGTTTATGGTGTTTTTTTTTTTTTTTTCTCTCATACCCCTACCTTGGAGAAATAGTAAGATACTACCAAGTTGTTAGTATGGATGTTTTACAGGATTATTTACTTAATGACTGTGCCTAAGCTGCTCACTGCAGAATTCTGTGTGGTAGGTTTTTAAAGTTTTACAATCTCCCAAATGACTACTCTTTATTGGACCTGACTCTTTGGTAATGAAGAGTCTAGCTGTGGTTTGAAAACCACAAATTAGTACCTATGCTTTGCCTTGCCTTGTAGGCAAGATAAAATGATGACTGAAATGAACAGCCATGAAGCTCAGGTGGCTTTGAATGAAATGTGTTTATGCTAAAGGCTTTTTTTTTTTTTTTTTAAAGACTTATTTATTTGAGAAGTAGAGTTAGTTACAGACAGAAAGAGGGAGAGAAAGAGAGAAAAGTCTTCCATCCGATGGTTCACTCCCCAAATGGCTGCAACTGCCAGAGCTGGGCTGATCTGAAGCCAAGAGCCAGGAGCTTCTTCTGGGTCTCCCACGCTAGTACAGGGGCCCAAGGACTTGGACCATCTTCCACTGCTTTCCCAGGCCATAGCAGAGAGCTGGATCGGAAGAGGCATCTGGGACTCCAACCGGTGCCCATAAGGGATGCCAGTGCTGCAGGTGGAGACTTAGCCCATAATGCCATAGCACTGGCCTCCAAGACATTCTTTTTGAAAGAAGAGAATTGTAGGTTGTGTGTTGGGTTGAAAGTTGAGGCAGATCTGTTTTGGAAATGTGTAGTCACCTCTGTTGCAGTGCTTTCTCAATGTGTCCCCTCTTCTTTTAGCCTGCAGATCCTCTTAGAAATAATGTATTCTCTACTAAAACAAAACAAAGAGGAAAACCAGCATTTTTCAGTGCTGTGAAAAGGACAGGAAGCTGTTACGATTGGCTTAGGAAATTCTATTACAGTGGTCCTCAGCTGAAAAAAAATATATAGGCCTTGCCGCACCCCTACATAATCAATTTCCCTGGAAGTGGAAACTCGATATCTGTATTTTTATTTTTTATTTTAAAGACTCCTTTGATTAAAAAAATTTAACATCAGAAATATAACAAAGTATACAGTAAAATGTAGCTTTTCCACCCTGTGCTTCTTCCTTCTGGTTCCTACCACACTACCAAAGGATTAGTTTCTGTTAGTAGTAGTAGCTGCTGGTTATCCCTCCACAGATCTTTTTTTTTTTAAATCCAATGCAGCTATATACTCTCTTCCCATCTGTGTTTGTACAGATGTTAGTATATCAGGTTATTCTATACTATATTTTAAAAGTTTTTATTAATATGTTTTGAAAATTTTTCCATGTTGCTACATCATGAGTTCCTAGAATTAAAAACTATTTCCAGACTTTTGCATTGTCTAGAGGTTCTGAAATTTAACTAGTCAAAAGACTTATTTTTTTTTACTTTTTCTATTAAAAAATACTGTAATACATAATTTATGTCATGTACATATGCACATTATAAGTATATACCTGTTAAATTTCTAAAAATAGAATTTTGAGTCAGAAAGATTATGCATCTGTAATTTTGATATATAATGCTAGATTATTCTAGGGATTGTTATTTATACCCTGATTGGCAGTGTCTGATAGAGCCTTTTTCCCTTTAGCTTTATCAAGATAAAGTATTTATCAAGCAATTAGATTTTTGCCATTATGGTAAGTAAACACGGCTATCTCACAGTAGTTTCAGTTTGTATTTTTCTAGTTGTAAGGCTGAGCATCATTTCTGTGAACTATATTAATATCAGTTACAAGTTGTTTCCCAGTTTATTAGTTGTTTATGACACATTTTTTTAACCTATGAGAAGTTTTTGCTTCTAGTTGTATTTGAAGTCTTTTAGAGTTTTTAATTAGACTTTTCCTACTCTAATTATTAAAGTTGTCTTCTATTGGAATTTAGGGTTTTGGTTTTTAGATTTGATCTGATTTATCCTGGCCTAGAGTATATGGTATGGATCTGACATTTTTCCCAGTTGGCCTCCTAGTTGACGCATACCTTTCCTGAATAGTCCCTCCTCTCCCTGCCCCTCAGTCTGATAGGCCATGTGTAGCATGTCCAGAGCCTTTGAATTTCCAGTTCTTTTCTATTAGCCTGTTTATTCTTGTGCCAATAACTATTTTAATTATTGAGGCGTTTTATAATGTTCAGTATTTGTAGGACTTGTCCCATATCATTGGTCTCTAATTGTTTTCCTGAGTTATTTTATATTGACATTTGTCTGAGTTACTGCATCTGTACTGTACAAACATCTGTTTGAGATACGGCTAAAATTGTGGTAAAGACACACCGTTGCTAAGAAATAACATTTTCTTTTTTTTTTTTTTTAATTAATTTATTTATTTGAAAGAGTTACACAGAGAGGAGAGGCAGAGAGAGATAAAGGTCTTCCATCCAATGGTTCACTCCCCAGTTGGCCACAATGGCTGGAGCTGCGCCAATCCAGAGCCAGGAGCTTCTTTTGCGTCTCCCGGGTGGGTGCAGGGGCCCAAGGACTTGGTACATCTTCCACTGCCTTCCCAGGCCATAGCAGAGAGCTGGATCGGAAGAGGAGCAGCCAGGACTAGAACCGGCACCCATGTGGGATGCCGGTGCTTCAGGCTGCTGTGTCATAGCGCTGGCCCCAGAAACAACATTTTCTAGTGTGATCTTCTCTGTTGTCTTCCATGAGAGAAGGGGGTCATCCTTGACACCGCATCTGCTCTGAGAAGGTCCAGCTTATGTTCAGAGTGGGTGTCAAGGCAACATAAAGCTGTAGGAATTCTCTGCAAGATCCAGGCAGCCCAGGGTTCTGTTGCTGGTGGTGGCACCCAAGGGGCATGCTGTGTGACGACGCATTCTGGACCTCTACAACATTAACTCAGATAGTTCTCATGTCTGTTATACAAGAGGAGTTGCAAGGTAACACATGGCAAGTGGCTTTTGTCCAGTAGGGCAATAAAATAGGTAATACAGGCAGAAGTAAAGTGTCTTCAGAGATGTACAAGCAAAATATCTAACTTCAAAGGTGGGGTTGCTTCCTGGAATCAAGGCTTCCTGGAGTGATTTGCATTTGAGATGAACTTGAGATGAAGGGAGGTTGCAGTGGGAAGCGTTCTAGATGTGCTCCAGGCAGATTTGGTGTTCAGTGAGTAGTTTACCTGGAGCGAATCTCGGGAGGCTGATTTCTCAGAAAGAGGTCTGAAGTCCGTACATTAGAGTCGCCAGATGCTTGTTAAGATCGCAGATTCCTGGTCTCACTCCAGATGT